AGATGGTCAAACAGAAATACTGAACAAGATTTTAGAGAAATATCTTTATGTCTATTGTAGTTATAGACAAGACAACTGAGAGAAGTGGCTTGTGTATGCAGAATTTGCATACAACAGGTCAGAACACTCCATAATATATATGTTTCTGTTCAAAGCAATGTACAGCTTTGAATCTAGAAAATCAGACAAGATTCAGAAGTTAGTTAACAACAACAACAATATACAGACAGTATTCCACAGAAGACTGAGAATAATCTCTGTGTTAAGAAATAGTCTGGTAGAACATTTGACAAAAGCAAAAGAAGATCAAGCACAGTTCTATAACTGAAGACATTAAGATAAAGTGTATACATCTGGTGATAAAGTGATATTGTTATCAAGAAATCTACAAATAATATATTCTTGCAAGAAGTTAGACAACAAGTACTATGAATCTTTCTCAGTAATAGAGATTATAGAAAATAACACATATCAACTGAAGCTCTCTCCAAGCTATCAGATTCACAATGTTTTTCATATCTTATTGTTAGAACTGTACCACACAAGAACAGATAAGACACTAACATATTCTTCTGTAGTACTGGTAGACAATCATCATGAGTGGGAAGTAGATGAAATCTTGGATAACAAAGCACACTACTACAAGAGATATTATCTAGTGAAGTGAAAAGAATTCTCTATTGAGGAATCAACATGGGAATCTGAGAAAAATCTTGAAAATGCACAAGAAACTCTTAAGAATTATCTAAAGAAAAGATAAAATTACAAGAAAATAAACAAATCTACATACAGAAAGAAAGATAAACATGATACAAAACAAATATAAAAATCATAACACATCTATAAAATCAAGAATTTAATGGTGAGAAGATATATTATGAGAGTGCCTAAGACATGGCTGCAACAGTGGCAAACTGGCCATAGACAAGCAAGACTCAGAAGTCACAGATACATTTGATATAATAACAGACAGAATCATAACAGAAGATACAGTTACAAAGAAAGACATTACAGATAAAGAAGTATAAAGAGAATGAAGCATTTCTATAATACTCTGAAAATCAGAAGAAACAATATTAATTAAATAATTAATAGAAGATGTGAGATTAGCCTAAGCAAAAGTTAGTCTGAGAACAAGTAAGATAGTACAGAAGATCTATAAGACTGATTTCTGTGCTATCTTGAAGAACTTTAATTTCACTTATCAAATAAGTTGTAAGATGGTCAAGCAAGACTTAGATGTTTGCAACTTCATTTTCTATCTGAGAGAGAACAGTATGAACTGGGCTTGATGAATAAGAAAACTCAGATAGACTATCTTTAATAGATTCTATCTCAGACACAAGATCTACAGTCTTAACTATATAGCATGAGACAAGACAACAATATTTCATGAAAGATTCTTTAACAGTAGAAGTAGCTTGATAATGGTGATATTTAGTGACTTCTGAGTTGAGCCCATGAAATTCACACACAAGTATACTCATGCACTTGATATTGTATGGATGACATGAATTAGCTATATCAAAACTATAGTATTCTTCTTGAAGTTGCAAGAGCCAACAAACTAGTTTGATGGCAGATTCTGGAACCTACAGCCATATCAGAATAACAAGAAGAACAGACAAAGACACACTTATATTATAACAGATATGGGTTTGATGTTCTAAATAATAAGAACAAGATTTCTTCTTAGTATTCTATAGACAAGGCTTGTCTTCATTCAGATGGTCTGTGAACATTAAGTAAACACAGATAGAGTATAAAAGAGTGTCTTCTTTATTGTGTGCAATAGAGTCTTTTAATGACAATATTGTGATAAATTATAAAATAAACAAGAAATAATGTCTGAGCTCAAACAAAGCAGAAGAAAAGAAGAAAGAAGAGAGCCAGAAACTCTCTATTTATATTTATTATAACACATCAAGATTGCTAGTTTCACAACTTGTTGATAAACAATGTAACAACAGACAACAGATGATATATCAACCAGATAAGCAAACAAACAAAGAAATAAGTACATGATAAAACACTGGACTTTTGTAATAAAACAATTGCTGTCCTATAATGAAGAATGTCTACTGCAACCAACAGTGATATGCATGCAGAATATCTATATAGATAAGCAGTAAGTAATGCAGAAGCTTACACATTCAAGAACCTACAATACTCCACCAATAATAGAGGAGCTACAACAATATACAAAAAACCACTTCAGTAGCCTTATGCCTCAGAGTCTGAGGCCTCTGGGGGGGGATAGTGTTACAAACATAGATCTAGACCAACCAAGCATCAGATAACATTGGATGTTCAGAGGTATTCACATGACCCCAATGCTGAATGTATAAGAATCACATGATTCACATGAATTGTGGGAACTCTAGCATTCAGTCTCCAAGTGAGGGAACCCCTATATTTTATGCACAACTCTCTTCTATCAGTTGTGGGCATCATACCTACTTAGCTCTTTCGTACCCCTAATTCTGGGAAAACCTACATGACCTATGACTGGTTCACCTAACAACAGCTTAAGCTGGTGTAGGAGGGGCAGTGACAACTGGTGGAGAAGATGGAGGGGGAACAACAACACTCTAGAACTATCAGTTACAAACACTTTCCAAACTTCTTGCAACTACTCACCAAAGACTCAATCTCATCCATGAAAGAGAGAGTAGGGGTTCTTCTGAGAAAGAAAAGTGAAGATGAGTTGTGAGAGAAGAGAAGAAAGAACTGCACACTAGCAGCAACTGCTAGCAAGCATCAGTCTCTCTGTAAACCAAACCTCATGTGAAGACAAAACTGAATAGTCATGCAAAGCAAAGATACAATCAGAGATAAACTCACCAGCTTGTGATCTTTTAGTCAATCATGTGGAATGTTAAAGTAAAGCTATTTTTCTTCCAGAATATCAGAGACCTTCTGTGAGTCTGTTTCCCATGTGAAGCAGTGCTTGAAGAGTTCACTTATCTTTGTAAAGATAATATAGGCTAGAGAAGAAAGAGAAGAAAAGAAGAGAAAGAGAAAGCAAGAGAAAGCTCTCTCTTAAGCTAGTATTCATTATCTAATAGTGACACAGAGCTAGCAAGAACAATAAAGACTCTCTACACATTATTGTGTTATTGGGTTCTGTTGTATTATTAGAGTTGTGTTGATATCACATCTCTAGTGAGGCTGTACTCTTTTTCTTATAAGAAAATTTTTATTTTTTCTAAGAGGTTTTTTGTTTTTCTACTCATGAAGATTTTTAATAAGACAGCTGTCTTGAGGGACCAAGACTTACAAGAAGAAGGAATCTGTAAGAATTCACTATGAACTCTTTACACAGACAAACAGCATCTGTAAAGGTCAGAAATCTCAGCTCACAAGCTGCTGGAAGTTGCATGTGTTCTCACAAAGCACTAAGTCACATGCTTGTGAGCACACATAAAAGATCATCACTGCACAAATCTCTTGCTGGGAGCCAGTGGCAATCTTGTTTATAAGTCATACATAGTTGCCAGAATACAGACCTTTTATCTTGTGTACTCTTTTTCCCATGTATATTCCTCCTAGAGATTCATTGTCACACTGATCCACACATACAATCCTTATATAGAGTCTATTCTAAAGCATTCACTGCTTCAATTACAGTTACTCACTTATAATTGCCAGGCTGTAGAAGCTTTGCTCTGCCATAGCACTCACTACTAGTAATAATCTTAGTAGTGGTGCAGAGTTCTATAGCAAAGCCAGTCTCATCAAAGTTGTATATATTCTCTGGCAGAATCCCATGCTCAGTAATTGTATCTCCCAAGATCTTAAATCAATTCTTCATAACCTGCTGATCTTTGCACTTAGCACAGTCATGATTATAGTGTCTGGAATAGCAGCTTTGGAGCTCTGGACAGCATGCCACTAGATTTGACACCCAGTTCTTGCCAATGTGTAGAGAGGGGTTGATGGAGGTGGTGGAATCCCATATAGTAAGAAGATAATTAGCTGTATCTTCAACTAATGCAGGCCAGGAGAGAATTTCTTGTTTAGCTTGGTCCAGCACCCATTCAACTAGTCTATCTTCTTCAGCAGGAGATAATTTGTGTGAATTTGTGTGTAAATTCACCTGTGGAGCTTGTTCTTTTAGCTGGTTATAGAGTGTAGTGTAGGGAATATTATAGACTCTAGCAGCTTCACAAATAGAGGTAATTTCTTGATTTTTAATAGATTTTATCATGAGTTCAAGTCTTCCCTCTCTCTCAATTGAATTCGAAGAATTTTTATTGCGAATTGGTGGCATAATTGCATGTTGAAGTGGAAGAGTTCTTTAATTGAGTGGAATTTTGAAATGGTGATCGGTTCGCTTGGGTGATCAGCTCGCTTGGGAATTACGTTACTCCGTACATAATTACTTAGTTAACTGGAGTGCTGCTGCTGCATAAGAACGGCATAAAAAGCGACTGGGGTTGATAAACCGGTTCATAACTCCCCTGATGATCCCGGTCCAACCAAGCAGAAACATGCACTTCAGCTGCTGAAATTCAAAAATGCCAAATCTTGCTTGAAGCCGAGAACAAGACATGGGCCTTGTTCCAGCGAGATGAACTGCCTCTTGTCTTGCTTTTGGCAGACGAGAACGGGGTCTTTGGTGACAAACGGCAGCGGGACATGTAGTTAACTATCAGATTCTACTCCGTAGACTCCTCAGGACATTGTCTAGCTTGCAGGGTGGTGGCGTTACACACGAGTTAACCATCCAAGCTATTTAGATAACCACCACTCCGTCCTCCGTGGCAAAAGGTTTCAATAGAGAGAAGCGGAAGCCATTTACCCCGAGCGATATACATATTTCAAGATCCTTCCAGGGATCCATTAATCAACTCCGCGGGGCCCACACATTGAACACCCTGTCCGAAGGCTCCCCCCCTCTCTCTCTCGTTATTTTAGCTTGCTCGAGGTCCCTTCATTTCTCTTGCTTCCTTGTTGCACTACGGAGTACCTCTATAGCTACATATTTAGTCGTTGTCATGGCCGCTTCTGTTGGTCGCCTTCACGGCAAAACCGCCGTCGTCACTGGAGCTTCCTCCGGGATTGGACGGGCCATCGCCTTGAGGTATGCGGCCGAGGGCGCACACGTCGTGTGTGCGGATATTGATTCTGCGTCCAAAGGTGAATAGCCCCTCTTTTTCTTGCCTTCTTGTCACTTTGATATAGTTGAGAGTTAGAGAAATCTGCATGGGATTGGAGAAGGGTGGTAGAGTTTTGGGATTTCTGGAGAATTGCCAAATTAATTTCCAGGTCCCCGGGGCATCTTATCGCTAAACGCCTCGAATACGCCTAGACCCGGATGACACCAGGCCAACTCATGAAGCTATTAACCAAGAGTACCCTGCGGGCGAGGGTACTTCGCAGCGATCGATATTCGTCAAGACAGATGTCACTTCTGGTACCGAAGTGGAAAACCTGGTTCGGGAATGTGTAAACGCATTTGGAAGATTGGATATGTATGTCTCCATTGTGGTGGCTTTGAACGCTCTAATTTGAGGGGGTCAGTTAGCAAAGCCAGACACATGCTGACATGGCGGCTCATGATCAATAGAATGGTTAACAATGCCGGAGTCGCTAATGGCCCGAGCAACCCGCCGGGTCCAATCCACAAAACCCCCGAATCCTCATGGGATACAATCGTAGGGGTCAATGCCAAAGGCGTTTGGCTGGGGTGTAGTAAGGCTCCGTCAAATATCCCTGACTGCCTAATAGCTTGACACTTGGATGCTCATATAAAACCGCAGAATACGCCATCACCCAAATGCTAAACCAAGATCCGCACCCCAGTGGTGACAGAGGCTGGGTCATCAACATGGCCTCGGTTCTTGGTTTAGTCGGCAGCACTGGGACCAGTCCATACTGTGCATCTAAGGGTGCTGTGGTCCAGATGACTAAATCAATAGCACTGGATTATGGACAGGATAGAATGTCAGTCTCCTCCGTCTCACATTCCACCGCTCCTTCGGCATTAACGACGTCATTCATAGACATGTCAACGGCATCGCACCAGGCTACATTGAAACGCCCTTGGTCAAGCCTTTCCTCGATCCCCATTCCCCCGATCCGCGTGCAAGAGCACTGTATGCGGCCATTGGCTCTAAACATCCATTCGCGCAACGAATGGGTAAGCCGGAAGAAATAGCCGGCTCCGCTGTGTTTTTGGCTTCCGATGATGCGAGCTGGATCACTGGCCATATATTGCCAGTGGAAGGAGGGTATCTTGCACAGTAGCCAGAGTTTAATTGAATAAACTGATTTGTGTAATCATCCTATAGAGCAGCGTAACCTGCCCGCGATGAATCATGGACATTGAGGACCTTTTGAATCCAATGGAATAATCAACAGAAGTAGATTTTTGCCAGATAGGGGCCCCCAAAAAGCTTTCAAAAAGATGTATAACAAAAGCATTCAATATATAACACATGCATATGCCATCGGGCACAGAATTGCTTACATCCCATGACCTTCTTTGTTAATTAGAGCCGCAAAATCCGACAAATAATGATGTGCATGAAGCGAAGCCTCGAACCAAGAATAAGCGCAAGCCACCATGCCAGAAGGCTGTCAGCATGGTGTCACACACTGCAGGATTGAGCCACAACGAAAAAAATGCCATGAATGCAAAGAACCAAAATGGCCTATATGACTTTAAAGAATGTCTTCACAAAGAATATGCCGATAACTCCAGAAACAAATCCAAAGAAGGACACCAGCAGCATGCCACTGTCATAAAACGCAATGCACAGTCATCATTCGTGAGGAAGCCAGGAGACCCCCCCTCAAAGAAGGGGGGGGAAAAAAAAAAAAGAAAAGAGACTGCCAAGAACTATAGAAAAAGAAATATGAGCGAAGGAAGATTTAGGGCTGAACCTCCGGCGGCGGCTCCAGCAACGTGCCTGGATCAGGCCCATTTTGTGGCATGGCGGCCCTGGCCTCGTGGTTCGAAAGCCAGTTAAGCTCTAAGTCTTCATCACTGTCTACCATCTCGTCGAGCATGCGATCAATCTCGTCTCCTGCCTCGTGCTCAAGTCCTGCTCCTCTGAAATTGTGACTCCGCTCGTAGCGTCCTTGTGAGGCATAGTTACTTCTATGGATGTGCGTCGTACGCTGCTTTGTGCTACGCGGATCCATATCACCCTCTGGCTCTAATGCAGAGGCATTGGACACTGATTCGGATCCGAACGCTGAGAGTAGCGGAGTGATGTTCGCACTCCGTGGAATGGGTTGCTTCGGCTGGTGTTGGGAGCCTGGGTAGTATCCTGAATTTTCGGGACTGGACATGAATAGTAGTGTCTCAATGGCGTCTTGTTCCATGAGCGCGTTCTGAGAGGGTGTTCGCAACTTTGCGAGAGGATGTATGCTGTTTAACGGGGTCGAGGATAGACAGGGAAATTGGGGTTGGGACGGAGTACCAGGTATTACGGAAGTTGGTGAGTTGATATCGTCTAACGAGGACGTTGACGATTGGTGTGTCAACGCAGGCTTTTTGTTCGGACTGAAGGTCGCACAGGAAGAATATATTGACCTCGTATCATTAGGATTCGGCCTTCGTCTAGGGTTATTAAAAGCGCCCGAGACAATGTTTGCAGGTGGTTCAAGCCGTGGAATCTGCGCCATATCAAGCGAGATAATCTGATCCTTCGAATCTACCGGGTGATGCGAAACACTTGAAGCGGATGAGTGCTTTTGGCAGGTTTCCATAGCGCCATTGCTAGAAGAAGTACCCAGCGACACCGTTCCTTGTCCCATCTCCAACATTTCCCGGATTCGTGCGCCATTGACATGACGCTGGCGAGGCGAAGTTGATTTTTCTACCTTAGGTGACTTAGTCGTTTGTTTGGGAGTGCGACGGACTGCTTTCGGAGAGGAAGATAGTGAAGCTCGCCGCGAAAAGACGTATTTCCCTTCATTGGGATCGAATTCCCAGTCCCTTTCAACTTTGGCAGCCGCATAAGACAGCCGCACACAAAGTTGAGCAGACAACTAGACAATTGGGAACAGAACAAGGTTAGTACCTCAATCTGTTCAAAGGAGGTTGGAGTCCAGGATGGAAGTGTTTACCTCTGCAATCCTGTTAGCGTTGGTCTCGGTACTCATCGTCAGGGAGTCGCCGGAAACGCAAACTGTGTGCGAGACGGGACAGGAGAGGCTTTCACCCGCTGCTGTAGCCGGTCGTTATCGGTACTAGCTCCCGGTTCGATAGAAGTGCCGGTCAGCGGCTAGATCGTCGGCCCAGGGCGTGTGTTATTGTCCCGTCATTTCTGCAGATACAACTCAACTTTAAACGCGCAGTCCAACGCGTGACGGCTGGACCACGTGCCAAGCCCGACAACACCACCGTCAGCGCAGAGCCGTCGAGACCGCCAAAATCTACCATCCAACTACCAGAGTTCACACTCACTGTTCGGTGGCTTCACTTACAATGCAGGACTCCCCTTGGAAACAAAGAATATTGATGATAAATCACTGAATTAACTATTTTGGGTTTTCCTGAATATTAACTATGAACAAATAGTGCAAGACAGCGATCTCAACGATTGAACAACTTGGAAAGAAAATAGGAAAAGAAGGCAAGCTGGAACAAACAACATTGCAAGAACATTAATTTCAAACCCCCCCCCGGCTCTGGGTATTCTTCTGTCCCCATGTGCGGGAGGATTCAGGATGGAGCTGAGAACAGCAGGCAACAAGAGCAGTCCTTTGGCCGAGCTCCCTTTCTTTTAATTTTTTTTGTTTTTTCCCTCTTAAAACCCCATGCCATACGAAATATCCAGACAACCCTGGCCAAGTTTTATCGTTTCCTCGTTACCAGATACATTCCCAGGTCATCGACATCGTAAAACGGACCATTAGCAACAATGGATTCCTCTTTAGGCGTCTATTTCTCGCAATGAAATGTTTACAACTTGTCATAATACTGGAAATCATGTTAGTCAGCACCCTCCCAGTATCAAGCGGGCAATATGTAACAAACTTACGTTCTCAACACCAGGAACAACTTCCTTGATACCCTTACGCTTACGCATCTCTTGAACGATCTGGCCGGGCTTGGTCGTTGGGTCAAGTGGGGAACCACCTGGGAGGATCTGCCAGTGGTCGAACACGGACTGTGGGAAGGCTTGACCACTAGTGGCGGAACGGAGATCAGCGGAGAAGCCAAAGGACTCGTTGACTGGCAGATAGGCCTTGACTGTGAAGAGAGGAGTGCCGGGTCTCTGCTCCTCAGAAAAGACGTGACCTCTACGGCGGGTAAGGACACCATAGATACCACCCATGGCCTGCTCGGGCACTTGAATCTCGACCAAGAAAACGGGTTCGAGAATTCCGGGTTCAGCCAAGAGAGTAGCAGCATAGATAACACGACGAGCAGTAGGGATGATTTGGCCACCACCACGGTGGATAGCGTCAGCATGAAGAGTAACATCCAAGATGTTAAAGCGAATGGATCTCATTGGCTCTTCAGCGATCGGACCCTCTCTAGAAGCCCACTGGAAACCGGAGACGACGGAATCCTTAATTTCATTGAGGTACTGAACAGCCTTAGTCTGGTCGACAACCAAGTTGGCACCAGTCGTGTCAGGGCCGAAACACCAAATCTTTCTCGCATCGGTAACGTCCCAGCCGAACTCATCAGCCAAGACACGAGCACGGGCCTTGAAATCGTCACGGGGGCTGATCTTTCCAGCTTCAATAGCATTCGAAACCTCCTCAGCAAGTGGCTCAGCCTTGACATAAAGACGGTTATGTTTGTTGGGAGATTTAGAGAGAGCAGTGATGCTGGATTCGGCACCAACAGTCTCACGGTAGGAGACAACGGGATCGGAGACACGGAGAGGAACACCCGCATGGTCTTCCTCAAGATCCTTCAAGCAAATTTCCAAGTGCAATTCACCAGCACCGGCAATGACGTGCTCACCAGATTCGGAAATGTAGGTCAAAACGCATGGATCAGACTTGGACAAACGCTTGAGACCTTCGACGAGCTTGGGCAAGTCGTTGGCGTTCTTTACTTCAACAGAGCGCTGGACGACAGGAGAAACGGAGAATTTCATGACCTTCAAGTTGTGTGCGGTCTCGCAAGTGGTGAGGGTACCAGACTTGAGCAAGAACTGATCAACACCAACCAAGCCGACGATGTTACCAGCAGGAACGTCCTCAATTGGCTCGATGAAGCGACCCATCATAAGAATGGTACGCTGGATAGCCTTGATGTGCAAGTCCTCCTTCTTTCCAGGAGTGTAGTTGGGGCCCTGGATGCGGACCTTGAGACCAGAGCGGACGGTACCGGCGAAGACACGGCCGAAGGCATAGAAGCGACCCTTGTCAGAGGTCGGCACCATCTTGGAAACGTAAAGCATGAGAGGAGCCTTGGGGTCGCAGTCACGGATACCGATGCAGACCTCATCATCAGGGGGACCCTCGTACAGAGTCTCGGCACGGTATTTCTGAGCAGTGACGGGGGATGGCAAATGAAGCACCATCATTTCCAAGAGGGCATCAGCAGCGGGAAGGAACTTCTTCATGACGACCTTAAGAAGGGGTTTGCCCTCCAAGTCCTTCTCATCACTGCTCAACTTAATTTCGAGCTTCTCGAGGAGGACGGAGATCTCATCCTTCTTAGAGTGGGTGATGGCGTTGAAGATCTTGAAGATGGGGTCGAGGATAAACTGGTTGAAAGCACGCTCGAGTTGCTTGCCTTCATGCTCTCCGACCTTGGTCCACTTCTTGGTCTTGGGGTTAAAGTAGTTGTCGCCCTATACGCAAAATTAGAAAATGATGCAGCGAGAGACAAGCCAGACGTGATTGACTTACCCAGAGACGTTCCATCATCTTGTTCCTGTCAACACCGAATTTCTTGGCATACTTGACAGCGAATTGTCTGACAGTAAAAGCCCAGCCATGAAGACCGGAGCCGAAGGCAACGGTACCCTTGTAGGGGTAGACTTGGACATCACCGAGGGCAGGGTCGAAGTAAGTAGCGATGATAACGTTGACGGATTCAATGGTACGGGCGAAAGATTGGTAAAGATCTTCCTTGGAGACTTGAAGTTCGAGAAGGGCACGGTCGACCTTGTTGATGATACAGACAGGCTTGATACGCTCGCTCAGGGCCTGACGGAGCACAGTCTCGGTCTGGACGCAGACACCAGACACGCAGTCAACGACGACGAGAGCACCGTCGGTGACACGAAGAGCAGCGGTGACCTCAGAGGAGAAGTCAACGTGACCGGGAGAGTCGATCAAGTTGATCAAGAACTCGTTACCATCGACCTTCTGAGGGATATCCTTGATGTCTTCTGGGTCGGACAGATGGGCATAGAGGGAGATAGCAGTGGACTTGATGGTGATACATCTGTCCTGCTCGTCCTGACGAGTATCTGTGAAACGGGCCTCGCCAGCTTTGGCAGCCGAGATGATACCCGCACGTTGCACCATCGAGTCGGTCAAAGTAGACTTTCCGTGATCGACTGTTCCAATGATTATTAATATACGTGCTAGCTAAGATGCACACATTGCAGCAACTCGACGTACCGTGAGCGATAACGGACATGTTACGGATGTTGGCGGGACGGTCCATCAATTGACGGATCTATGCGATTGCTTGTCAATACCCATAATGTCGACGGCACCACCGTCTCGTAAAGCAATCGCGGTGTGTCAGTCTCTGGACGTACCTCCTCGACCGTGAAGCTGGAGAGGGAAGACACAATTAGCCAAACAATTCATCTCGAGTACAAGAAAACCAGGAAAATGCGGTTCAGTAGCCATATCGTCCTGGGCGCGAGCAAGGAGAGATGCTGAGATGCGACTTACTTGACCATCTTGACGGTGTTCTAGGTTTTCAATGCCCTAGAGGCGGGGTTGGAATATCTGTGAAAAAAGAAAAAAAAAAAAAATTTATTCAACCAAAAAGTAATCAGGATCGAGAGTGCTCCCGACCTGACCGTTTTCTTAGTTGAAACAAAAAGAGAATCAGCTCAGTACTGGATTCACAAGGACCTGAAGCTGGCGAGGGAAGACGGTGGTGAGAGGAAAGGAGAGGGAGAAGAGAGGGAGAGGGAGAGTGGGAAGACGAAGCGAAGTGGGCGATGGTTAGGTAATTTTGACGATTCCGTGCATGGCGGGGCTTGTGCGGTTTTCGCCGGCCGCGCGATCCCTGATTGGGCAATCGGGATTAGTAAGCACTGCCTCGTTGCTTTTTTGCGTGGTGGTTACCCCGCACAGGGTACCTCCAATGTACCCCCCACCACCGCTGCTGCACCACGTCCGCCGTCAGGGTACATCGAGTGACATCGCGGTGATGCTGCCCGCTGGAGTCCTTCTGCAGACGCCAGTGCTGGTCGAACGAACAATTGGTTTTGAGTCACAAATAACTACACAAATTGATCCAAAACCAACCGTCCAGTAAAGCTGCGGGAAGAAGCCAAATACGCAGCATCCTCGGGTGCATGACGGAACTGACGCAGGAAAGCGCGTCAAGGGGTTAAAATTTCGGTGAACCTATTTTCAGGCTCACCGCAAGATCTCGGTTTCTTACTCGCTGGAAGGCTTGAGAAGCAAAAACACGCACACTCAAAAACAAAAAGAGGGAAATGACGCTGGGATAGCTCCCGCGAGCGTTCCCACGTTAGCTGGTTAGCTGAGCACTCCAGTCCATAAGTGAGGACAACGACCATCAATTACTCATGAATTATTATTACAGATTTCTTATCTCTAGGAAAGTAATGAAATCTATCCTGCCATTCCCGCCCTTTTTAAAAAAAAAAAAAAAAAAAGGAAAAAAAAGGAAAAGAAAAGAATATATATATTGAAACGCCTTGTTCTATGAGCCCAGAATCTTAGAATAAGCATCCTCCACGTCCTTTGCCACTTCCATCAACGTAACAATGATGATTTGATGCGTGATGTTAGGAAGCTTATCTCTATGCAACCCGATCCATTCCAACGGCGGAGTGGCCTCGCCCATGTCGCGCAACTGGGGCGTTTCGATCACTGGTGTCTCCAGTGCAGTGTACGTGTATCTCGACTGGGGTACATTCACTACGGCGGTGATCTTTTCTTGCCCGCTATACTCCCCATCATCGCCTTGTGGCCCG